GGTTTCGCCCCAGCCAATGTCCTTCCTAATTTACTTTAAATGACTTGGCACGTGCGTGTTGTTGCTCATCTGTGGACACCCAAAGCCTGTGGATGCCCAAAACCTCTGCCCCACAGAGGGGTGCAGCCCCGTAGCTGGGACAGAGGTTTTTGGTGCTCTCACCACCCTCAGCTCTGCTCCGTGCCTCCCAGCCCTGCCCCAGTTGGCTCCTGGAAAGCAACAACTCCATTTCCCAGTGGCCCTATGGGAGGGAATGGGAAGGTCCCAGAAAGACACAGAAGGTGAAGTTCCCCCAGCGAGACTGTGGCAGGTGCAGGCTCTGCCGGGCTCTCCCCGTTTTTAAGGGAAAAAAATTAAAAAGCAGTGCAGCCCGTTTGGCCGGAGCGGTGCAGGGCTGCCGGCGGGGGATTGAGCAGATCCAGAGGCTGATGCCACCAGCGAGGCTGCCCTCCGCGGGGCTGCAGTGCCTCCGCCCGGAGCACCCAGGCACCCCAGAGCGCAGGGGGAAGCCGTGGTGCCCCGACACCCCCTGCACCGGTGGGTGCCTGGGGCTGTCCTGAAAATAAAAAAAGGCAAAGCCAGTGTCTTGGCAGAGCAACGAGCTTCTGTCCCAGCTCTGCTGCAGCCACATCCCGCCCGCCGGGCTGAGGCTGCATTTTTTGCAGCCCCCCAACCCCCCCCATGCAAAGAGCAGAGTTTTATTCTCATTTGGGTTTCTCTCACTTCACAAATTTCCCAAATTTGTTATTTGTTTGTTTGGTTTTTTTTATATTTGTAGATCTTTTCGTTCCTTTGGAGAGAGAGATCTGTAGGAAGAAAACCCTCAGCGTGACCTGCAACCTTCTCGAACCATAAACTTTAGTACTGCTAATACTGACACACGTGGACGGATCCTGGCATGACGTAAGGGGTGGAAAAAACACTTTGTCGAAAACGAAACGAAAACAAACAAAAATTGCCTTAAGTATAAAGTGTGGAACAGTCAATACATATCACTCAGTTAGGAGGGGGTGGCGTGTTCTCTTGGCTTGTTCACAAGCAGCCAGCAGCAAAATTGTGCCTAAGCTTGATATTTCTTTTTTAAAAAAAAAGAACATTAGTTATGAGATTTTTTATGTAGAACAAATAGCAATGCCTTTTGGTTTTTTTAGCTTCTTTTGCATATGTTTTGTAAGCAACAAAAATAATTTTTTTTTTTGTATAAAAAAAAAAAGTCTTGTACCCCCACGCTTTTCTGCTGCTGTTTCTATAGTTAATGTTGCATCTTTAGGATCAACCAGAATATTAAAATTGTATTAAGAGAGACTGGATATAAAGAGAGGAATTCTCAGATTCGGCTCTGAAAGCCACTAAAAGCGAATGTAGCCACAGCGAGGGGATGTTCCTCCTTGCCTGGCTTGTACCTTCCATTATGAAAAAACAAACTCACTCCTGTGCTGAATTCACCATCTCTTTGCTTTGGCCACTTCTGATTTGGGAAAAGGAAGTTCACCAGCGAAGCGAGTCGCAGTAGTATCCCTCAGCCGTGCTCCCGCTCCTCCCAGGAGGAGACCGAGGTCCATCAAGGATCTCTGCAAGATTTGCTTCACTCCCGGAGGATCCCGGAGGCTGCGGTCCTGCCGGAGAGAGGAGGTACCCGGTGGCTATCCCGGAACGTCAGCATGGGGAGGACAAGCTGCTGGGAGAGAGTGGGCCTTGGGGTGGAAGAGAACGGAGGGACTGGGGCACTTCCAAGGTAAGCAGAGAAGCAACACAGATGCAAGAGGAAAGCCCAGGGCAGAGGAGAGTGCCCCTTGCCCACGCGGCTTGGCAAATGCCCGCTGTCAGAGGCGCTTCCAGGGGCAGCGCTGAACAAAGACGAACTGAACAAAGCCGGAGGAGGATTGGGAAGAGGCAGAGGTGGACGGAGCAAAGGCAGCAGCGGGACGGCGTGCTCGGAGACCGGAGCAGCAGACGCTGGCAGCAGGCAGCAGAGCCCAAGGTGGCAGGAAGGGGGGCAGCTCCCTGGCACATGCACGTGCTCCAGCCCTCGGCAAGCCGCCACCGGCCGCAGGATCCCCGTCTCCGTGCAGCTTCTCCCCACGCTGGAGCCAGCACCGTCGGAAGTGCAAAACGCTGCAGGCTTGGGGAGAGGGGTGGTTTCACACCCCGCCTTCACCCGCTGTTGCATCTCCAAAGCATTTTTGGAGGCAAACTCAGCTTGGTGCCCGGCCTGGCTTGCCACAGGGACGCAGTGGCCGCTGTCACCTGCACGTGGGCTCCTCTCTCCATGCTGGAAAGGAGGGGAGCAGCAAGCGCCTGTCCTGCGCGAGATGCTCCAGCAGCCAAGCTGGGCCAACGATCCCTTTGCTCCGAGGGCTTCCCAGTGTCACTCCAGACCGCTCCAGTGTGCTCAGCGGGAGGAAGACCCCCCGGCAGCCCCAGTGCGTGGCAGCGTGCCCCAGAGGTGCTCAGTGGTGCTGAGCTGCGGCAGCGGGTCTGGAGTTGTTCCACTGGAAAGTTATTCTTGTTTCTTCCCTCTCCTTCCCCTTCTGAAACATTGCGTGTCCGGTTCTTCCCAGCTCTGCAGGCAGACGGGGTCAGCTCCCCAGGGGGATGTTAAATCTCATCTCAGCAGGGTGTAGTGCTCAGACTGGGGCCAGCATTTGGCCAGATCCGCCTGGCAGAGCCCGATCAAGCAGGATAGTTCACGTGGCATGAGTGCTGGTCTAGGGGGGGTATGGGAACAGCGAGTAAGGTAGGATACCCGGCAGCAGGGTCCATCTCTCCCCTCTACTCCTCTGGCCTGTGCTTCTGGGGAAGCTGTATTGCTTTGGTACAGGGAAAGGAAGGAACTGGTGAACAGGATTAGGTCCTGTGGGACTTCCAAGCAACCCCAGGCTTCGGCATAACTTGCTGGTGCTCCTCTGTGCTCGTAGCTGTGCTTTGTGCTCCAGCAAAACCTGCTGGAGATGCTCAGGACATTGCTCATCTCCCACCTGCACCCAGGTACCGCGGGCTCAGCCCCTGTAGCATCTCAGAAGGAGCCACTTACAAGTGCCGGAGCAGTATGGGACCATCTCCCTGCTGCCCCTGGCACTGGCACTGACCCAGGACTCTGCAAGCTCTGAGGCTTTCAGATGCTCCTGGCTTTCCCTGCCCACAGCCTGCTGCTCCCACTATCATTTCTGTGTGATGAGACCTGAGACCACAGCAGGCTCCAGCTCTGTCCCTGGGAAGGCCGGGAAAGGTCAGTGGCTGTGGTCCCTGCAGGACCAGGAACATGCCTTCTTCTCGCCTGTGTCATCAGACATGTTTCAGCCTAATTAGCTTGTCCGGTTACGAGGCTCTTCCCTCCCTTGGATTCTTCTGCTTGCTTAAGCACAGGGCAGCGTGAGGCAGATGAGGTTTTCCTTCGTGTGTGACAGCTTTGCCCCCATGGAGCAGCTCCCTTGCAGCAAAAGCCATGTCTTCCTGAAGCATTCTTCCAGATTCCGTCGTGCTCCAGATGCTGGAGCAAGTTCCGTGTGGGAACGGTGAAACATACAGGGAGTGGGCAGTGCCCCTCTGTAGCCTGCCAGCTGGGTCCAGGGGCTCAGACAAGCCCAAATCGTGCTCCAGGGTAGGAATCGAGGACTCATCGTCTGCTTTCTGCAGCCTTTAGGATGCGGCTCCATCCCATAAGTGTTTGTGCCCCGTCAGCAGGACGGTGCTGGGGCCACAGGGCACTTGCAGTGCGGGGTTTTCTGCTGGCTCGGTGCCACTGTCGCAGGACCAGGCAGGGATGGAGCAATGTCCCAGCCCTGGCAAGCTTGAAACTGTACAAAAAAACTAAACAGTGCTTCCCCAACACTTGGATTTTGCAACATGAATTTGAGGTGGCAGCCACGTACAACTGGATTTAAAGAAAAGAGATTGTAGTCAAGAGAAATCCAAAACCACAACCAAATTGGAAATTTGAGATTTGTGATTTGTTCAAAATTTTTCTCAACTCCTTCATCCCCTCCGAGTCCTGGCTGATGTTCTGCAGGCCAGAGGGGACTCCTGCTGAGACAGACCCTTTCCCATCACCCCCAAACCACCAGCCATTGCAACAGAGATGAGGCTTTTCATTGCATTTAGGTGGCTTAGATGCTGTTTTCATGACAGCAAAACCAGCTAACTTTGGTGGCAAGGCTTGGATGAAGGTCCTTGAGCATAAACCCCTGGTGTCAGGGTTTGGAGGAGATCTCAGTTCCTCCAGCAGGAAAGGACAAAGCCAGGGGCTGGTAGTGCTGTGCCCAGGAGCTGCCTCGATGGCGCAGGGTGCTTTGTGTGCTGTTGTGCTTGCTGCCTGTGCCAGCCCAGCACGGCCTCGGTGGCATCTCTGCTCTCTGGGTGCACAGGAAGCAATTTCAGAGTGCAGCAAGGAAAACTTACTTTGACTTGCCAGTGTGTGTGGCTCAGCGTGAACATGGTGCCTGTAACCTGCCAGGGAAAGTGGCTTTTCTAAAAATGAGCACTGTCGGGTGCTGTCCCCAAAATACCACCAAAAATACCTGAAATAACAGCTTGTTGCAACGAAACTCTCATCTTTAGATGTCACGGTCAGAGAGGGTGAGGGTCTGCGCCCTGCCCAGCCCAGGGCTCTGCTGGCATTCGACTGTGTGATCTTACAGATCGCTTTTCTCCCCCAAACTTGCTTCTCTTCCAGTCTGCACGTCCCTTGCACTGGTGCTCCTGCACAGAGGCGTCACGGCTGGGCGACACGCCGCGGGGTGGCATTCGCTTTTCTCCTTCCTCTCTCAGCCTCGCAGGACTGTGTTCTCTTGGGCAGCGTGCCCCTCGGCGGCGGGGACCGCAGAGGCCCTGCAAAGCCTCCTTCATCCGGCAGGGAATTCCGGGAGAGGCCGCCTTTTCTAGTTTCTCTTTTCCCAGGTGGCAGTAGCTG